GAAAGAGATGTATCTTTGCTCTGGAAACTGTTATGTTAAAGCTGTAATGAAATGCTTCTTCTAAAAAATTTTTAAAAATATTTAAAAAATAAGGAGAGTAACTGAGAGACACTTGATGTCAACCTTTGGCCTCTACATACACATGCACACACATGTACACACACACACACACACACACACACACACACGTAAATGTGAGATCTAGGATCCATAATGAGATTCCAGGATCAAGAGTACAAGAAAGAAGTAATAAGTTCTCTAAGTTTAATAAAATTTTAAAAATTAAAAAAGCCAGGCGTGGTGGTACAGGCCTTTAGTCCCAGCACTCTGGAGGTAGAGGCAGGTGGATCTCAGTGAGTTCAAGGCCAGCCTGGTTTACATAGTGACTTCCAGGCCAGGTGGGTCTACAAGGAGACCCTGTCTCAAAAAGACACTCCCCCCACCCCTAAAAAAAAAAGAAAGAAAACTTGTGTTTGTAAAAACTTCATCCGGGGATTGAGATGGTTGCTGAGTGATTAGTGCTTACTATGCAAGCATGAGGAACTGAGTTTGGATCCCCAGCACCCACATAAAAAGCCAGACATGGTGATGCATGCCTGTAACTCCAGTGCTGGGACAGGGCAAGGAGGAGACCGGTAGATCCTAACAGTTCACTGGTCAACCAGGATAGCTGAAACAGCAAGCCAGGTTTGGTGGGAGACCTTGTCTCAAAAAATAAGGTGGACAGCAATAGAGAAAGACACTAAACATCAACCTCTGACCTCCACGGGGGCACACACAGGAGGCACATATAAAAAATATACATAATTAAATTTTAGAAAAAGGGGTAAAAAACAGACCATTAGATTCCACTGTGAGATGTGAAAAGATTAAAGTTGTCACCCCATTCTACAGGAAAAAAGAGGAACAAAGTAAAAATCAACAACTCTTTTTAGATCCTTCAGAGAACTGAGATCATCAAGCAAATCAATGCCCTTGAAAGTGTAAGAACAGATGAAACAGAAATATTGCTTACTGGGAGTGTATCCATGGACTAACTTAAGAGGTGAAGACTCTTAGTCAGTCCTAGTCCCTACACACACACACACACACACACACACACACACACACACACACACACACACCACTACCTTTCATGACATCTACCTTCAATATCCATCTGAGAAAAGCCTCAGTGCAGCAGGGGGAGGGGCAGTGGTCACTTCAGCAGCTAGTCTTTCTGTCAAGGGGAACTCCTTTAACAGAACTGACCCCACAAGGGACACATCCAGTTCCAGGCCCTTCTGCCACCTCACCTAGAGGGAGAAACAGGCTGAGGAGCCCTTGCTGAAAGTCATGCCTCAGTGCCACAGGCTTAAGACTGAGACCCAGTCACAGGCTCTTGTTAGGACACTTCTCCCCCATGGACACTAGCACACGAACAGGGCTCCTGCATGACCACAGAGGACTGAAGTAACTCCCAAGTCTCACTTAAGGAGCTCCTAGGGAATGCAAAGGCATTAAAGGAATTGGTCTCAATACCTAACAGCTACACTAGCTGTAAACGTCGCAGTCACAGCCAGCTGAACATAAACACTATTCCTAAAAGTCCCTTTATCACAATTCCTTTATCTAATATATACCATGTCTACCTTTCAACAAAATTTTGACTATGAATTTTAACTAATTACTATGCTAAAAGTTCTGGTAGAAAAGTGGACATCATGCAAGAATGAATCATGTAAGCAGAGAGAATGAAATTCAAAAAAGGACCAAAACTGTACACTGTTCTTCTAGAAGATTCTAGTTCAATTCCCAGCAACCACATCAGGTGGCTCCCAAACACCAGAAACCCCAGCTGGAGGATCCAGGAGCTGGTTTCTGTGGGCATCTGCATGCACATACCCACATATACACATAATTAAAAATACAGTGCTGGAGAGATGGCTCAGCACTGGCTGCTCCTGCAGAGGACCCAGCTTTGATTCTCTGCACCCACACGGTGGCTAACATCTGTCCATAACTCCAGTTACAGGGGATTGGACACCCTCTTCTGACCTCTGTAGGTATGTGACATGGGTACACTTACACACATACAGGCAATACACTCATACACATAAAAATAATCAACAAAATATTTAAGAATAAATAAAAATTTGTCTTAAAAGGAGATGCTGGAAGCCAAAAGCCATGTAAGACAGAAGAATACCTTTAATGGGCTCACTAGTAGACTGCATAGTGGACTAGGAATGGAGCTTAGTGGTGGAGCACTTGCCTAGCATGCCTGAGGCCCTGGGTTCAAATCCCAGCACTGCCAAAAAGAAAAATAGGTGAGGGGGAAAAATTCAGTAACTGAAGATATAATAGAAACTTCCCAAGTGGAGATTCAAAAAGGAAAAACTGAGAGCATCTAAAAACTGGGAGACAATAGAGAAATATAGGCACAGTGGGCATTCCAGGTCAAGAGAAGAGCAAAAGATGCCATGTGGTGGCACATGCCTGCAATTCCCAGCACTGGAGAAGTGGATCTGCACTAGCAAGAGGATCAGGAAATCAAGGCCAGCATGGGCTAAACAGATTTTGAGGCAAGCCTGGGCTACATGAGACCCTGTCTCAGTAACAATGTACTGTAAGTTTCCAAACTTAATGGCAAGACACAAACCACAGATCAAGAAGTTCAGGGAACACAAATCAAAATAAATATACATGAAAGTCTACACATTAGCAAATTCTATTCAGACTTCAGGAAACTGAAAAGAAAATTTTGAGGTCAGAGACAAACACATCTTAACCAACACTTAAATAAGAACTACAATGAAATTCTTTGCACAAACCATGCAGGTAAGAAGAGAGTGAGGTGGGACATTTAGTGTTGAAAGGAGACAACCTCCAACCTAGAATTCGGCATTTGGCAAGCCTGTCCTGCTGCTAGTGTTGACTTCTAAAACACAATGCTATAAGCTTCTAAGGATACAGTAGGACCTCTAAGCAACTCTCTGGGCTTAACATTTTTGATATGACCACTAAAGTAAGGCCTCAAAGAACAAATGGATTTTTGTTTGGCTTCATTAAAAAATTAAAAAAAAAAAACCACTCTGTAAAAAATGTTCAGAAGGGGCTGAAGAGATGGCTCAGCAGTTAAGAACACTGGTTGTTCTTGCAGAAGACCTGGGTTCGAATCCCAGCACCCACATGGCAGCTAACAACTGTCCGTAACTCCAGTCCCAGGGGATCCAACAGCCTCTTCTGACCTCTGTGGTCATTGCACGACACGGGTGCACTTACCTACATGCAGGCAATACACACATACATATAAAAACAATAAATAAAAAAGGAAGCATTTAAAAAAAGTGTTCGGTAAAGAAATGGAGAGATGGCTCAGCAATGGCTAACAGTCTGTAACTCCAGTTCTAGGGGAAATTTGACACCCTCTTCTGACCTTCATGGGCAATGCATGACTCAGTAGTACACACATACCAAGTAACACACTCATACACAGAAAGTAAAAATAATTTTTTAAAAAATATTAGGTAAGAGAATAAGGCAAGCTACCAAGTAGTAAAAAAAAAAAATGCAAAACTCATCTGATAAAGGAACTATATCCAAAGTACAACTGGAGGTCATCATGTCAAGTAAGTTTTCATTCATATGCAGAATCTCATTTTTAAAAAAGACATGAAAGTAAAAAGCAGAGAGGGGATATCTGGCTCTTGGAGGGACAAAAGAAGGTGGGGTGTGATCAAAGCACATGACATGCATGTATGAAAATGGCATAATGAAGCATTTTGTATAATTAATATGCATTGATAAAAAAGGATTAACACATTTCACCACCCCATCTATCAACTGAATATTATAGTAATCTTGATCAGTTCCAAAAATTAGCCCCCCAAAATTCCCAAAAGGCTCTTGAAGAAAATAGACTATCTGAAAGGACCATGGCAAATCATTAATGAAAACTACAGTCCATCCATGACAGTTAAATTATGAAACTGTCAGCTATTAAGAAAAACTCAATAGCTTCCTTTTGTAGTCCCACACATTTAGTGAAGAGGCTGTGCTTCTTCCCAAAACCACCTTTGTCAAGGAACTTGTGGAACTATAAAGCTGAAGGATCAACACTTTTAAATAAGAATTCATACTCCGTGGAAGTAAGAATCTTTCAACTTTTATTTCTAGGATACATTCATCTGGAATCTTTTGTTTCTTTACAATTTTCCCCCTAAGAGAAAAGAATACAATAAAAATATAATCCAACCACCAGCAATGTCTGTAACCGAAAGGAATCTGAATCTCTGGTGTGATAATATAGGATATTTTTTTAAAAAATATAAACTTCATACCAGAAATAAGCCTGAATATTCTCTTTCTTTAAAAATATAATTTTCCGGCTTTGCTCCTCCACGTAAATCTTGTAATAACCATTTAATTCTGCAGTCTGTATAAACTAGCACTTGTAACACTATCACATGGTTTTGTCCTGCTTTATATCCTGTTCTGTACTGTGAATCCAGAAGGCTTTTAAAAAAAAAAAAAAAAAAAAAGCTGCCACTGGGTTACAGCAAGACTCTGTAAGATATATTATTTTTAAATCCCCATTAGCAAACTAAAGTCTACTTAACAAATTTTATTTTATCCTGTTCATGAAATTAGAAAATGTGTACAAATCAACTTTTTGCTATAAAACTCAAATGGAAAACATTTCTAAAACTTGTTTGCTGACTGGGACAGGGTGGGTACAAGATTGAAATCCACATTCACACTGGGATGGGATGAGGAGGCCTTAAAAATTGCAAAGGTGCTTGAGTGTGGGTTCAGGGCTGTCTCACTGCTTTGTAGTGACATATCCTGCTTTTCTCGAGTAAGACCAGAGGCCACAGGGCCAAGGAACAATCCTCTAGATCACCAAGAAGTCAAGCCATCTCCAACTAAGGACAAGAAATTCACATTGTCAGATGGCTTTTCTCCTACTTCTGACTAGTTCCTTTATGGAGAGTTTCAACAGTTGATGTGTAACTCATTTCATAATGGAATTAGGAAACCAACATATATAGCCTGGTGACTAAGTCCCTTAGTTTAAGAAGGTAAGAGACGTCTGATCATAAACACAGGATAACATACTTGAGCCAGGGAGGAATCTTCTACCTTCAAATAAACAGCATCATCCATAGTAATGTTTTAGGGTGTTGCATAGAGCACAGGGGCTAGGCAAAGGACTAAAAAATTTGGTTAACAAATCAACCCCAGTGAACGCTGCCTTGTTTGCTAGAATGCAAAGCAGGCCTAAGAGGATTTCCATTGTGACACTAGACAGGCGCAAGGAGGCAAGACTAGCACTGTGGTCAATGGTACCTAACCCGAGGGACCAGAGGATCACCTTTACCAACTAGCAAGAGAGGATGGCCTGGGCTACCACACAGCAGAGGCTTTGCTAAAGAGCTAAGCTAGCAGGCTGCTCGAAGGGGCTGCCTTAGGGCCTGAGAGCTCCCCTACCATCTCTGACCAGCCTGTGGCTCTGCAGGAACAGCCTAGTTCAACAGGGAATGGCAGTTGGCCTCACCTGTCCCTTTGGCCCTCTGATGTACTTGCTTTTCCTGTAGTCCCCTGCTCCCTTTCCCAAGAGAATATTCAGGCCAACATTTTTGTTGTTGTTGCATTAGTAAAGAGTATAGACTAGCAATCTGGGAAATCCCTAACTCACTGGGTGTCTTATGTCAATATAAGGTACTTAAATGTTATTCACAGAGGAGTCAAATAAGCCCATCTCACACGAGGAATCCAAAGTATTAAAACTTAGCAGTGATATGTTTAAAGGCAATTTTTTGCCAAGGTTTAACTAATGGGCTTAAGCCAATGTCATATTCCAGATTATCAATCATTTCTTTTGAATTAACATGTCTTTGTGCTTTCTACAGACAACAAAGTTTTTTTTAATATACATATATATTTTAAACCGATTTATTATTCCCTTTTACAATCATATCTTCAGTCTTACATTTAAAATATAAATCTAAATTGTCCATAAAACCAACAGTGGACCAGTGACAATATCATTTAAATGAAATAATAACTCAAGAAAAGGCCAGCATTAAATTCAGAAAACAAACAGATTAGAAATCTGCTCATACACCCAATGTGTTCAGAAAAGAACTTCACATGGAACAAACACCACTTAGACCCTGGTGGGCCCTGGCCTGTACAGCTTCCTGTTCCAGGATGCATCTTCTTTATCTCTACTGAGGCTTATACAGCAGCAAACATCCTCACAGCAGAGGCTCGCACCGAGGGTGCAGCCTGTTCCAGACTCAGCGTGTGTTCCCAGCAATTGCTCTGTAGGCTCCCTGAATTATAAAATAACTTCATCTTTTAGGAGCCACAAAAAAATTAAAATTTTTAAAAGGAAGGGTTAAATCTATTCAAACACACTATACATAAAGTGTTACCAGTAAGAGTGAAGTGGAATAAAGGGATAAAAGAACATAGATTTCCTTAAACAATTCTGCTACATTAGACAGTACCCCCAATTGCAGCTACCGAGCTTAACCAGATTACAGGGGGGAGGATGTGGGGCACATCTGAGTTATTACCAGAATCTGCATCATTTTCTTGGAGAAGCTAACAATAAAACATTAAATATATACTTGTTTGATTTTTATATTTATTTGAAGACTCTTTGGTAACGATATGTGTGTTTTCCACATTACAGGACTTTTGAAAATAAATGTCAAAATAAGCTGGCCAACCAGCATATGACAAAGCATGGTGCCAGTCAGCCTTCCTGTGAGTATCCTTGAACCTGACTAGCTAGCACTGCTCATGCACTGAAACACAGTATGCTTAACCTGTGGACACACAAAATGAAAGCTAGCTAATACCAGAAAGGAATTAGACAGTAATGAGAGTCAGTGACAAAACATAACAATGATAACTGTTCTTAAGTCATTTATTTTTAAATTATAAGATTTACAGTGCCTTGATTATGCAAAATATCATAATGGAAATTAAACTAAATCAATAAACCAAAAGAGAAAGAAAACTTTGTTTCCTTGTATATCAGTACGTAAGCCTTCTTTATACGTGTCTGATGTCCCAACCGCACCTTATGTAGAAAGTGTGTCAAGTTTCACTTGCAGGCTTAATTTCTCATTTTCAACTTTTCTGAATGGTAAAATTTTTTCAAATCCTATTATACCTAGTATTTATGCTGCAACAGCAGCAAAACCTCACATGTGCAATCAAACGTGGAACTGGGGCCCAGCTTTTGGCTTTTAGCTGCAGACAGGAACATACACGGCATTCAGTACAGCAAGGTACACTAGGGTAACCAGAGCACGGAGTTTAGTGACTTATTGCAGAGTTGGTATTTCTCCCTCTGATCTGAACCAGCTGACACTGAGCAGAAGTATTACTGCTGCGGATAGTACGACTGCTGCGGGGGCTGAGGGAAGGGATAGGCAGGCTGCTGCGGCGCTGGGTACGGAGCCTGTCCCGGGCTCTGGTGGTACACTGGCGGGTATGGCATGTTGTACTGGCCGTAAGCGTAGGGGTTGTAGCCCATGGGCATGGGCATTTGGCAATACCTGATGATGAGGAAAAAAAAAACAGAACACTGGGTTGGTAAACCAAATATTGTAAAATGACACATTCAGTAACTACTCAAAGGCCAGTTTTCAATGAAAGTCATTTTCCTCTACTTTCATCAGAGAGAGTAGTAGACAAAGGACCCAATTCAAGGTACACAGTTTAATTAAAATTAAAGACTATCAAAAGTTTAATACTATCCAGAAAATAATGTTGAAGGAAGTAGAATTAAACAGCCAACTATTAAAGAATAAATATAGAGAGGGTTCACTTTAATGAGGCAAAACTAATTCTCTAAATATGTTCCTGTTCCACAAGGGTTGATAGTCACTGTACTACACAATTTGCTGCTTACAAAGTTTTAATATCTGGAAGATATAATGTTCTTAAATAAATACTTAGAACACATCTTAATAATTGGCAGCCAAGTGTTTGAATGTCAAGAAGTTACCACATGGCCAGCAGGATGGCCTGAAAACCTTGAGTTAGATCCCATGGTGAAAAAGAGAGAACCAACTCCCACAAGGTGTCCTCTGACCTCCAAATAGGCACTGTGGCACACACTCCACACACACACACAAAACAAACACATACATGCATGCATACATACATACACAAATGTAATTTTAAAAACAGAAATTAACCACAAGAAGGCTGCCTGGGAATGTAGTAAATGCTTGCCTAACATGTGCAAGGCCCTCAGTCCAATCCCAACACCACGAAAACAAATAATTACACACACACACGCGCACACACACACACACACGCGTGTACACACACACAGAAAATTCCACAGAAAAGAGCTAACCTTTAAGTTCAATCTATAATGGGGCAAAATTCAACAGTTTATCAAATACTGAGACTTCAAAGTGCAAGCATATATACAAGGCCTTACCATCCTTGCTATATACACCATGCTCAGAAAGATACCTGTTTATCACCTAAATAAAAGCAGCCAAGAGATATATACTAAATGCAACATGAAAAAAATAAAAATACACATTCTAAAAGTCTAGGGCACAGATATTCAACTACTCAAATAATTACACCACGGTTTTGATTTCTGGAATGTAGTTTAATTCATGAGAGATTTATTTTAGAGAAAGGTGATATTATGTTTAAAAAGGTTAATTAGAGCTAGAAACATCAGTCAATTCTTTGGGATACAGGGTGAGCCACCGCCTTACCCGGGATATCCTGGGTAGGTAGGGTATGGTGGTCCCTGGGCCTGTGGAGGGGGAGCAGAGCTAGGTGTCTGCGTTGGAGCTGGTGGAGCCGCCCCAGCCCCCGTGGGAGCAGCAGTAGGAGGAACTCGGTTTGCTGGAAGCACAGGAGGTGGAGGCCGGGCTGGGGGTTGGGGCTTAGCAGGCTGAAAGAGAAAATAGGCAAACTGTTTTGGTGTCTCTCAAATTGCTAACTAAAACAAACAAGGGCATATGACATACTTCAATATGCAACCAAACAAACTTGTTGCTCCCATTCTTAAACATTAGCTTACTACTCTAGAAATGCACCTGAGTAGAGAGCAATTCTCCAACTTCACAGAGCCATGCTCTTCCTGGTGCCTGCTCCCATCAGACTAGACACTCAGTGGGAAAGAAGCAAGGTGTGACTATTCCTGGGTCTTCATCCAACCCCAAATTCTTTTTACAAAAATCTTCAAAATCATGAAAACTTAAATTGTATGATAAAACAATCACACACCTTAGTAGCAAAGCTCAGTGGCTAACCCTCCTTTGTCTCTACGTATTTGTGGAACCCCTTCAAGTTGCAAGCTTTGCAACACCTCAGGCATCAACACTCAGTCCTAATGAGGGTGCCCTCCTACACAGTCCCAGCATCATCACCCCAAGAAAATGAAGCTGTTCCCAGGAATTGTTGAAGAGCCAATCCAGATTCCAGTTTTCCTATTTGTCAAAAGAAACACCTGTTTTTATGAAGCAAATTCAAGTCAGGGTCCATGTACTGCACTGGCTGTTAACGAGTCTTTTGGTCCTATCTACAGCACCCCTCCCTTTGTCCCCACGATTTTAGAAAAGACTAACTCTCATAATTCTACATCTCATGCTCTAGATGTGTCATTTCCAATGGAACAGTCGAGCTTCTTACTTCATCACTGTACTTACTGGAAACAGAAAGTTCCGAAGGTTTAATTATATTCAGTCTAGATTTGTGGGGGCAAGAATTCATGAGTGCTGTGTCTAAACACTACCAGAAGGTTGGCCCCCCACACAAGTGGGGAGCACTAGTCCATTCCCTCCACTGCAGCCTTCCAAGCTGCAGGAGTGCTGGCAGGGCCAAGCTTACTCACTGGCATGGTTCTTGGAGCTGGAGTTGGAGGAGCCGGTGCATGTCCTCCTGCTGGGGACGACTGGTATGCAGGGGTCGGGATTGAAGGAGCACTAGGTTCTCTGGCAATGCTTTGCTGCAAGTCCCTTGTGAAAGACAGGGTGTTACAATTAACACAGTTTAAAACAAACAAACAAACAAACAACAACAACAAAAAAAACCACCAGCACATGTAAGATCCAGTTCTTTTGTTTTTCTTCAAATATGAAAATCTTTCTTCCTACAGTTTAACTGAAAACTAGAGAAGAAAATAAATTTTTCAGACATCTTAGTTACAGTTCAAATAAGGAATATATTAACTAGGCAAGTAGCCTTAAGAGACTGCCTTTGGAGGGTCCCTTGCACTACCCTCTGAGTCGTGAACACTTCTGTATATTCAAAACACAAAAGTGAATCAAAATTGAAATACATGAACTTAATTATCAAAGTAAAACATAGTTACATTAAAAAAACATGTTTCGGAGTTGGGGATTTAGCTCAGTGGAAGAGCGCTTGCCTAGCAAGCGCAAGGCCCTGGGTTCGGTCCTCAGCTCCGGAAAAAAAAAAAGACAAAATAACAAAAAACATGTTTCACGGGGTGTAGTGGTACATGCCTTTAGTCCTAGCACTCTGGAGGTAGAGGCAGGCAGATCTCAGTGCGTTCAAGGCCAGCCTGGTCTACAGAGTGAGTTCTAGGCCAGCTGGGGCTATAGGGAGACCCTGTCTCAAAAAGATTAAAAAAAAAAAAAAAAGACTGCCTTTGGGGGCTGGAGAGATGGCTCAGTGGTTAGGAGCACTTACTGCTCTTCTAGAGGATGTGAGTTTGGTTCCCAGCACTCATGTTGGGTGGCTCCAGCTCCACTGGATCATCAAAGTCCTCTCTCTAGCCTCCATAGGCACTCACACAAATGTATCCACTTACACAAATACACATAAAAATATAAATAAATCTTTTTTAAAATGTGTAATTGTGCATTAACTCTACATACTCATCAGAATAAGTAATGGAAAAAATATGGAACAACTAGTAGGAATAGAAATTATTACAGCCATGTCGGAAAAGCAATGAACAATATCGAATAAAGCTGAACACACCCTATGACGCAGCAAGCCCAGACAAATGCCCAGCAGCACTACATATACTATCACTAAAAGCACATGATATCCAAGACAGTAACCCCTGAGCAAGGGTGGCTCTGAAATGCCTGGAATATAACTAGTCTGAACTGAGGATTTCAGTATAAAATACACATTGAATTTCTAAGAATGATGATGACGATGAAGTATCTCGTTTATAATTATTACACTAATTTTATGTTTAAACAATAACATTTTGGATACACCTGGTTAAATAAAATCTATTATTCAAGCTCTTTTTAGGTCCTTGAGGCTGGAGAGATGGTTCAACAGCTAAGAGTCCTTCTTGTTCTTCTGAGAACCTGGATTCAGTTTCCAGCACCCGCAATGGGCATTTCACAACCACCTGTAATTCCAGCTCCAGGGGATCTGACACCCTCTTCTGGTCTCCATGGGCACCCACATGCATCATATCCAAACACATAAACAATACATCTTTTTTTTTTTTTTTTTTTTGGTCTTTTTAAGACAGTGTCTCCTTGTAGCCCCTGCTGTCCTGGAACTCACTATGTAGACCAGGCTGGCCTTGAACTCACAGAGATCTGCCTGCCTCTGCCTCCCGAGTGCTGGGATTAAAGGTGTGCGCCACCATATCTGGCTTGCATTCTTTTTAAAAAATAAAAAAAATTTTTAAAAATAGAATTTAGGGGCTGGAGAGTTATCTCAGCAGTTAAGAAAGAACACTGGCTGCTCTTGTAGGGAACCTGGGTTCTAGTCCCAGCACCCACATGGCAGTTAACAGCTGTAACTCCAATTCCAAGGGAGGCCCAGTGGTTAAGAGCACTGGCTGCTCTTGCAGAGGACCCAAGTTCAAGTCTCAGCATCCATATGGCAGCTAACAACTAATTGTCCATAACGCCAGTTCCAGGGAATCCGACACCCTCTTCTGACTTCTGTGGGCACTGCATGACATGGGTACACTTATACACATGTAGGCAATACACTCATAGACATAAAATAATAAATAAAATATCTTTTTAAAAAAAGAAAGTAAGACTATTGGAGCATTTCTTTCTCTAAGAATAACCAAAAACAGCCTGGTACATAAACAAGTCAACTTAAATGTTTTTATTTTCTCCGTTCTTACGGTAAAAGCATACTCTATACCCTATTCTGTACTTTACTTCTTTTACTCTGTTATCTTAAGAGATTTTCCTGTATCAATAAAGTGAAACTATCCCCTACATAAAAACAGGGGAAGCCAGGCCCGGTGGTGGAGGGCCATAATCCCAGCACCCAGGAAGCTGGAGCAGAGTTAAAGGCCAGCCTGGGGCAATCTGGTTTAGAATGTCTACACAGACACAGCTTTATTTAACTAACCCTGGACAAAAGATTTGTTTGTATTCCTTTATTGCTATAAGCAACTTAGAAATAAATAAGCCATAAATATGTCATTTCTAACATAAACTGATACATTCCTGGAATGGATTCCCCAAAACAGAATGTCCACATCACAGGATGTTTGGTTTGTAATCCTGACCTGTACCCTAATTAGAATCACTACATCACACTACTAAGTTTAACCCAAAATTCAAGAAAATATTTTTAAGTACAATTTGATGCACAATACGAACTTACTTTAAAAGCTCATCTCTTTCTGTCTTCCGTGCAAACACGATGTCACTGCATTTGTTCTGGAACCTGACCAGGATTTCAGTCAGCTCATTGTAAAACTATAAACCAAGAACACACAAACAAATAACAATTTTTAAATAAATACTCTATTATTTTTATTTAATGTGTATGATTGTATTGCCTGCATGTGTGCAAGTGTACGTGTGTCATGAAAAAAAATTTTTTTTAATCAAGGGAATAATACAATCTAAAGATAATTTATCAGTGATAGTTAAAACTAGGAACTGAAGCCGGGCGTGGTGGCACAGGCCTTTAATCCCAGCACTCGGGAGGTAGAGGCAGGCAGATCTCTGAGTTCAAGGCCAGCCTGGTCTACATAGTGAGTTCTAGGACAGTTGGGGCTACAGGGAGACCCTGTCTCAAAAAGACCAAAAAAACAAACAAAATGAACAAAAAACCTAGGAACTGAAATCCTCCACATGAAGTATATTCATGCCATTGACTGGACAACTTAGTTATCAAATGACATAAAATTAGTAAAGAAAATAAAAATAACAAAATCTTAATTACGGAAAGTCACCAAATATTAAATGACAATAAAAGCTGCATAATCATGAACTTGTTCCCAATCCCCAGAAAAAAATCAACTATTAAATAATGGTCCAAAATCTACTAAGATGAAAGGCTACATCTGTACACTGACTGCAGAAATGCAAGCACCACTGCAGACAGCATTCCTCAGTTCATCTGCTTGAACAAAGCCTTCAGTTCAAACCCAGTGCCATCACACTATCTGCTCTATTCATAAAGCTTCACTGCACTGTCACCTGCCTTCAGAGAACTGTTCATAATCAATACTGTATCTCATCACAATAACTTTACTCGGTGACCATTATGGAGTTAAGTACCAAAAGGAATTGTGCATCTGAAAAATTTTAAAATAGTTGTACTCTCAAAATCAAAATAATCATTTTTAAGAAATCAAATATAAACGTTTCCCTAAACATCTTAAAGAACAAAGCAAAGAAAGTACTTAGAATATATTTCATGAACACTCTGATAATTCAGACAAGTCACAAGTCTACCCTCACCAAGACACCAGCTCAGAATATAAAAGCCACGTGTCCTCTTCCACCACACAGCAGCCACAACTGACCCTTAAAAGAGCGTCACAAGTTTCGGACATCTCATGAGTGCTGACTAAGCACTCTACCACTGAGCTGCAACCCCCAGCACTGGTTTCAGACATCTCTAATTCCTGAAACCTGGAATACTTATGTCCCTTCTCAGCTAAGGGAAATATGTAATTCATTCTTCAAACTTCCAACAAAATGTTGCTGCCCTCATTAAGCTTTCTCCATCTACAACAAACCTTCCAGGAGCAAAAGGCAGTAAAACAATCCAAGGCAAAAGTAACTTGATCCAACTGAAGGATCCAGCAGCACCCCAGGTGTACTTCCCCACCCATTGTACTACCTTCTATTTCTTTTGTGTGCATGCATACCTTTGTGCCCTCCTTCAAATTAGCAACAAGTTCAACAAAGTTGTCATAGGCAGCAGCCAAACTCTTCAAAACTTCTTCTCTCAAGTTGGCTTCATTGTTAGACTGCTTCATTTTTGAAAATTCCTGGTGTGAGACCTTGGTGAAAGAAACACAAGCACAACATACATTTATTTATAGAATTAATTCATCTCAAAATATTTTTTCACTTATTATTTATTGTGCATATATGTGTGCCAGGGTGAGCATGTAGAGATCAGAGGACAATTTGGGGCAGTTGGTTCTCTCCTTCCATTATGTGGATCCCAGAATCAGACTAGAGTTGTGGGGCTTGGCAGCAAACACCTTTACCCACTGAACCATCTCAATGGACCTTTGAAATGTTTTTGTTTATTTTCCAATTAGGAAAATCCTATGATCACAGATATGTGGAATTACTAGAAATACTAAAAATGGATATTTTTTTCAAGGTTGTACACTGCTTCGGCTTTTTGTTAAGTAAAAATAACACAAATCCAATGAGTGTTAAAGCATAACCAATAGTGAGTACAGATTTCTATTAATACAGAACACAAAAAAACACCATCAGAGTCCAGCATGGTGGAGAACACATTTAATCCCACCACCAGGAAACAAAGGAAAATAGATCACTGAGTTGGAGGCTAGCCTGGTCTACAAAGTGAAGTCCAGGCCAGCCAGGGCTACATAGTGAGACCCTGTCTCAAAATAATAATCAGATAAAAACTATTCGTTTTGAGAACATCTACTATATGTAGAATATTCAAAAGCAGAAATAGTTTCATTCTGCATATTAAGTACCCAAATGGCAAAGTTTCAGGTCTTATTAGTCTAAACCATGACTGTGTAAACACATGACGAAAGTCTTTGTGTATTAAGCATATAATTCTACGGGAAGCAATTATTCCTATTAATTTTGTTTTTTTCCTGAATATAGCAAGAAAAAAAACTTCAATGATCTGGAGAAAAACAAAATATCTGAACCATCAAGCACTTTTCTAAGCAGCACACAATATTGTAACCACAGACAACTGGCTTTGTGTCAGTTTCTTTCCAGTGCTGAGAATTAAATGTAGGGCCTCACACATGTCAGGCAAGTGTTCTATCATTGAGCTGTACTTCTACCCTGTTTTATAAATTTTAAAAACCAATATGCCAGCAGGCATGATGGCACATATCTGTAATCCCACTACTTGTGAGGACAAGACCAGAGGATAGCAAGTTTGAATCCAACTTGTGCTACACAGTGAGTTCCTGGCTAGTCTAGGCTATAAGACCTCTTTATTTTTGTAAAATATATAGATGTATCAAGTTCCACATTATAAATTCTTCAATTTCACATTCCTGAATGGACATAGGTTTAGTGCAGGCATATCCTTCCCAGTTTTCACACATACACGCACTAAATAAATAAACTTACCTGTATATTTTTTAGAAGTCCCTCCTGTTTCTTTAGCGATTCTTGGACTTTAGTTGTAAGACCGCCGTAGATTCGATCCAGTTCAGTCACAGAAAGAGCTTCTTCATTTATCACGCCATCCTGAGCCAGCGCTGTCAAAAACTTGCTTGTCATGTCAAAATTCACTGACTTCAGGTCATTCTCAAGACCCTCTCTCTCTTTCTTCACTTCATCAAGATTCGACAGTAAAGATTTTAAGACATTTACAACCTGAACAAACAAGCAATATATGTAAATATATATGGTTAACTGGGGCACATTTGGGAAGGAAATACAAGACCAAGGAATGAGGCCCCTTGTACTACCCTTTGAGTTGTGAACATTTTTTGCATATTCAAAACACAAAACTGAATCAAAATGGAAATAGATGAATCTAATTATCTATCAAAGTAAAACACAGTTACATTAAAAAACATGTTTTGCTGAGTGTGGTGGCCCACACCTATAGTCCCAGCACTCAGGAGGCAGAGGTACGCGAATCTCAGTAGTGAGTTCCAGGCCAGCTGGGGCTATAGGGAGACCCTGTTTCAAAAAGACCAAAAAAA